ACCGCGTTTTTCCCAATAAAAAGAGTCGCACGTTCTTGGATTCTCTCCATCACCTTTTTGAAAAGGTTTCATATGAACAGTTGAAAGGACAGCGTATATTAGTCCGTCTRCGTTCATGTACACCTTGACRACAAAACCATAGTTCATGGAATGCACATTGTACCTAGGGCTATTAAACTTGTCAGGATTAGCTCCATAATGATTTAGGACTATAACTGACGGTCATTTGGCATGGTGAGCTATTGTTCCTGTATCCTACACATATATGTAATATACATCACATTTGACGGACTGAAATTATATATTCTATGTGGTAAATAGCAGGAGTGATATAAAGCTAACTTTGATTGGTTAACTCTCGATTGTTCGGAAAGCTTCCTTATGTACACCTAGTCTAATTGTTGATATAAAACTGTTTGTGATTGGTTAATGTGTAGGTTAAAATTTAAAAGTACATGCATTTCTTCGTATTGATGTGTTCAAATTACGAAAACATATCAACACATTGATAGAAGGGGATTTCTCACAGAGATAAGGTAAAATTATACATTTTTTGGCCATTTTATCTTAATTGAGTACATGACTTTTACCACTAATACATGATTTTACAGAAGTGTTTTGTGAATGTAACAAATGCATTGCCTTTTAACTATAATTTAGTACTAGTTTTCCAATAACGAACGTATATCAATTATAAAAAGGTGGATTTTTTATTGCCTTTTTGTCTCAGAAAGAAATAGAGTTATTGATCTCTTCTCAGAAAGAAATACAAAGATCAAAGATTTAGATACAATAAATCCTTATATCAGTAAATACACTTTTTCTTTCGTATCTAAACCTTAAATTAAATATTTCTCTTTTAAAATATATAAGATTGAGTGGGAATCAAAAGCTTTTTGTACTACATACAATATCATATGTCCTCTCAATCATTACAAATAAATATATACAAAAGCATATAGAATTAAACTATCCATCTGCATAAAAACTATAGCTTCAGGGTTAGAAACATATTTGAATTCTATTGTATATAGCTATCTGCTCCTTTATTTAGTGCCAGATGGACTTTTTGTAACACAAGTTGAAAAGACGTTTTAAAAGACAGCATTAAAGTTGTTTTTCACATATCGTCTGATGTAGATGCTGTGAATTTCCAACCTTTGYCTTCCTGATTTTTTGTTTAATTATAGTGTTATTCGTAGTTTATTGYTATAGTACTTTTRTTATATTGCTTGGACGTCGGTGCTTCCAGAGTGACGCCGGCAATAGTCTATCTAATGTTACATATATACATATATCACGAAAACAGTGACCAGAGGGTAACTCAAAAGTAGACATATTTCACTTTATTGCAAATATTATTTTTATATATACTTGATAAACTATCTTTGATGTAAACACTTTGTTCATGTTTATTATCACCARGCTTTTTGCTTTTCATTTGCCGAAAAGTTAATTCAGCGACTGTTTTKCTTAAKTAAGTTATTAAAAAGGAAAAKRAAAAKAAAAAAAATCTCTCACGCATGCATTAAGTCGACCAAAAAAYATATAACATCCGTTGAGTCTGCAKTCTACAAGGAATAAGCTGCTTTCAGAGCTTTTCTTCGTGTAAATAAATAAGGTATGTACTCCCAGAGATTTATCCTCCTCTCAATTACACTAAGCCCTTACTCACGAGTTTTTACATTAGTGATACAATACTGTTTCTTTTCATAAAATTTCATTCGTGCGCGGTTTTTTGTCCCATCTAATGTACTTTTTTATTAAAAGCCTGATAAAAAATCCACCCGGAAAAATACGACAACCATCGCAATATCTTTTTTATTTCAAAGCTAGTGTAATAAGTAGGTAAAAAGCCTCGTATCATACGTGGCTGTCAGAAAGTTCCAGAATACTCGAAGATATAGTTGGAATTATGGGCTCAACACGCGAAATATCAGGCACGCTACAAGTAAGTGATAGTTATGATAGAAAACATTTCATAATATTATATGTATCAAAAGTATTTTTTTAGTAAAGCTCAAAGTATTAGGCTAACAACAAGTTAGAGAAAATGGGAAACATTTCAAATTTTTCAAAATATTGGACGCTATAGTTTTCAATYATACATTACRCGCAYTATTCAGCAACGCGTAAAATATTGCTCGTGTTGCAAGTAATACAAGAGCCCTGGTTTTACCGTTTCACAATATCCAACGATATTGGTTTTCCAATTATGTTTCAAAAGATTATTCGGTAACGTGTAGTGTTAGAGCTATGTAAGTAAAATACGTGATTATGGGAATGGAAATGGTGTACAACATTTGTCAATATATGCTTCTCAATTTATCAGGTACTATTATAATTAAGTAGAGCAGTTTTCATGAATCATATCCGTGAAACAAAGTTTAATAGAAAAAGCAAAAGTGTGTCATAGACTGAAAAAAGAGAAAAGAAAACGTGCTCAATAAGGAGCAATGTGTTGCTTTAAGGAGTATTTCACACTTTTATGAATAAGCACTCTTACAAAGACAGAATTAAGTATTAAAAAGTACGGAAAAGACCCATGGAAACGGCTTTAGAAGTAAAACTTTTTCTTCGATAATTCATCAAACACCGCCCACAGCATTACATAAGTAAAAASTCCGATTATCACTCTTGAGGTTTCGTAATTTCTACGTATTATTATCTTGWTATTCGTCTTGACGATCCARAGCCATCAAGGATTAGCTGCAGTAGTCATGGAGAGAGGGTGTTTTCAATACTATAATACCCTAGTTAATCGATGCTGTGTTACATCACAAGCATTGTTGCATTAACTAAATCTTAGTAAATCAAATCAGATGTTATATATAGTAACCATACCGTATAAAAGAGTTGTTTCAATGCATATTATAAGTACAAAATGCACTAGAATCAGCGTTTGTGAATGTTGTGGAAAATTGAGCAAAAATGAGAATAATATTTCTTCAAATATAAATATTATAGTAAAGTTTTTCCCCCTCTAAAGCCTCTGTTTAACAAAAACAAAAAAGAACAACAAAATTATAATAATCAGGAATAATGCTTGTTAAAAGAATGCTTGTTGCCCTCTTTAAAGCCGCAAACAAGAAATATTTTTCCCCGGTCAGTTAGCCAACATTGTTTGTCGATCCAGTATTTTGGCACCATTTGGCGACTTGTTTTCTTGTGCTAAGTGTTGAATGGAGTATCAAACACATGTTGGTTGGAGTTTAAAGTTCCTATATCGAGCGCTATTCAACTAAAGATTCTTATGGCTCCAGTCAAACAAGAGACGTCGGATCACCTATTTTTGGACAATCTAACATATTTCGCCTTTTGTCGACTTAGATGTCGCCGAATGYTTTTCGAGCGTCAAAATTAGAAGCAGATGTAGTTTATGTTCCGCTATCAAACACCATCAAACAYTTCTTGTATTATCTTGTTTGGCATGCGGCAATGTTTAAAGCGGTTTAGCCACTCAGGAATTCATTCGATGAAAGACAAATCAAACAATTATCACTATCGTTTGGACGGCSATTTTTATTTACCATATTTGGATAAGTTTTGGCTTATTTGGAAATACGAGTATATCTTTCCCAGAGTTTTTCGGACATTTTACATTCTAAGACTTGAAATCAAGACCAAAGAGATCAAACTTTCATTTGCAACCTGGCCTTTATGGRGAAATGTCAATCATGCCACAGGRATCCCGCGACAGCAACTGTTTYATCTTTCAATGTTTGATCATGTTGATGGCATTAATTAAAAGATCCATGACGTTGTTTGGACCGAGTTTTAAAAGATCATAATACAAAAAGTATGACCACTTAACGCAAACAAAGACACTGMTGTTAATATTGGTAGTGCGGTCACGGCAATAAATATATTGAAACCAAACAAAGTTTGATCAAMAGATATACTTATATGATAATTTACATCCTACATAAAATAAGATGTTCTTTTTATCATATTTGAAGATAAAAACTCCTTAAAACTATACAAAACTAATATTTCAAAAGTCATTTATTGCATGAAACAATGGCCCTTGAAAACTAGAGATAGCGAGACGAATATGTCTTTTTTATAGCGATTCTATTGACAGTAATGTCATTATGTGCCCATAATAAGTTTTCCATGGTTATAAATGTGTTTACATTGAAAAGATATATACAAAATATTAACAAAATCACATATTTATAGCTTTACCAATGTTTCATGCAATTATTTGCTTAATGTCAGTTGTTTTCCTTCTTCTGTAGTGTGGTTTTAAAGGCACTCGTTTGCGTTGTGTTAAACTAGCCTTAGGCTATGGCTCTAGAGCAAGAAATCATATCAAAAAGGCGTCTAGAATCTTAATTTTTTACTTAGTTTCTTTCACTGACGTGAAAGGAAAATCAGACAGCAAAGCCCTGGAGAATCCGATTCTTAATAGAATATATGGAGCAAACCAATTAAAGATAATTTTATATTTTGTTGTTAAGCTGCTCTTATTTGGTTTGATTTTGTAATGGTTCAAGTATATTTAGCCGTTTCAAAGTCACTGTCCCCACAAAATATACATATCATATACTATTGGCGGCAAAAAGAAAGATGGCGTTTAGCGAGAAAAAAAGCAATCCTTTCCTTCAAGCATCTGGAAAGCGTTGTAGGATAAAAATACAGGAAGCGTGATATCATGTAGTCAGAAATGGTAAATGTGTATAAAATAAGAGCCCAAAGAAAGATAAAAAAATGGAAAATAAACAAAAATGGCGGCCGTTTTTCCTTCAGAATTATCCTCCAATCTACAGTATTCCTCTTTGTTAAAATCATTTTGAGAGATCAATTCTGCTCTTTTTAAAGAATCAAGGTCCATCATTTAGATTCATATATCAATCAATTCTCCCTCGTTAATCAATATCATGAAGGTGTACCTCAAGGTTCTAAACTAGGCCTGCTAACAGTGGACATGACTTATAGATATCAACGACTGATAGTATACTATCAACACCGAGTAACACAATTTTTTWTACAGAAACCTGTCTAGTGGCTGGCAATAGATACSGTCTCATCAGRAAACCAGGCAGCTCTTGGTCTAGATAAGAACCAAGCACTGTTTCGTGCGCTGCCTTTTCTGAGGTCGCTTTCAACCTAATATCAATCTATAAGTACCTCTTATTCACATACTATTCTTTTGAAAAGAGAAAAGGTTAGTGTTTTAATACTAAAAAAGGAAATCTTTTCTATGATGGCAGCTTATAGTACTCGAGCTATCAAGTTGCTTAAGAAWGGCACCCATAGTCCAGAGAGCTCTTCAAAAGCTTCAACTAAAACGGTTCTCTTTCATTAGATCAAAGTTCCTAAGGAAGCTGCACCATAAACAGTAGTGTATATAACTACTAAGAACAAGGTCGTCCAAGAATACAGGACAAGGGGAGGTTAGTATATCGATATTTATTATTGATGTCGATATTCACCCATCAAAGGAAGCAAATGTCGTTTTCATTAAATGACGACCTTCGATCATCATGGTCTGTTCGAAAAAAAAAATGATTAATTCCGTCAATATTAATGAAAAAATCGCGGAAACTTTGGTCATGCACCCTTTCTTTAACTTCCTTTTTTGAAATCGGCGCCATATTGGCGACTGGATGAACAAGGTAAGCCATTGAGGAGTTAACAAACTCGAAATATTGCGGACAATTYACATGTAGGACTGTTTTACATCAAGTATATCCTCTTGTTTATGCAGCAGTAATAATATCGACAAGGTGTTTTCAAGGAAAAGTAGCTATATTCTATTTGGAATTTTGCGATTGAAAGTGGTTCATCTGTTCAGTTTTGAATCGTTCAATACGCAATTTGGTTAGTTTTCATTGAATATGGTTGCTAGAACCAAACGCAGCTATTATATTACATCCATCTATTTAGACTGAGATTTCTGCTGATTTTKAAAGAACAGTAAGATTTAGAGTACATTTCAAACTCATTCATCTCTCTTGTATAAACTAGCTACTCGTTTTCACGCTCGATAGAAAACCAATGGCTATATTTCACGGTTTTTACAACTTCCCTAGCCTAGCTGTAATTTACAATGAAAAATACATTAAATTGCTAGTAAATGATATATCATTCGATGAATGACACAACAAGGACTCTATAATTTATGACTTCTTGAAGAGGCATATCATATGCAATAATGAGAACCTTCGAGGAGGTATTCATCTAAGAACATAATATCTAGAATCGTTTAAAAATTCGTACCGTGTCACGTCGATCCTTATAATTTTTTTTTATCTAGAACATTACTCTACAAACATATTATTACAGTGTTTTTACATATTTTTATGGATTATTATTGCTAATAGGGGCTCTGTTTACATTATTAACTTTCAATATTTTTTTTCGAATACGAAGAAGACACATTTATTGATAAAAATCATACATATGCCAACTCTAAAGGCGACTTTAGACCACCATAGCACATATTGACTACGAGTTGAGACCGACAAATTTTGTACAAATAGCTACAGAAAAGAAAGAGTTGATTTTTAAAACGTTGGAAATAAAAACAATCATATCTAAAATGTTTTGTGAATGAAACTCACACAGAGAGCTTAGCCGTATAACTAGAAAGATTAGACAGTTTAATTTTATTTTGTCTTCTGCAGTGATGTGTTCATTAAAAAGGCGGTTATTTTAACARCGTTTCTGTCGGATCTCTTCGGATATCACTATATTTACCAATCGGCTTATCACTTATGAACATTCATATAAAAACTGAGCCTTTCCCAGTGAGATGACGTCATGCACCTACAACTGGAAAGTTATCTTATCGTATCACGTTCTAAAAAACACTAATTTTCAATTAAACATAAGAAACCTAACGGTGCCGACATGAATAATTCACTAGTGACTACATAAACAAGAATTTATATAAAGTTATATTGTCAGTTGATTTTCTTAGTGTCACGCGGTCAACATATTCATTAATGAACAATCTCTTTTTAATAGATTGTAATGCCCTGTTTTTCTTAAGGTTAGCGGAAGTATCACCAGATATAATACTGGGGATCTTTCCCTGACATAAAGAAATTAAACTGTAAAAGTGTTTAAGTATCACCACATCACAGGGGTGATCTGCATTTCTATGGACACCCCGCTAAACCTCCCCCAGCCCCACCCTTCATCCACCCCGGTTAACAAATTTCTTTTTGGTTTTTAGATAATTCAAGCCAGAAAAAATACTTAAAATAACATGAGTCTGTCAGATGCTAACTGCCGGGAGACCTGGGCACCATACTACTTGTCAATCACAACTGCTTCTCTGAGTGCCGTACTGTCAGCCATCACCGTACCAGGMAATCTMCTAATATGTAYAGCGATAATCAAGGACCCTCGCCGTGACCTGCGCACTTCGTTCAATTACTTCGTGTTAAACTTAGCAATCGCTGATCTAATTGTYGGTGCAATCACCGATCCAATGAGCGTCGTGTTTCACATCCGGGAATCTATGGGATATCAAGTACAAAGCTGGATCTGGGTACTACATTTATCGTACTTTGTCTCTTGCACGGCATCATTGYTAAGTATCGGTGCGTTGGCAATTGAACGGTATGTCATCGTGTCTTCAAACTATCGCCGTGGATTCAAGCCWTCGCGRGCCATTTTAGCGTCGGTTGGGATCTTGATAATTTCTTGTATTCTACCAACRGCGTACTTYGTTGTGGGTTTCAACAAATTTGCTTTTATATTTGCAAACACTGCMATTATCATCACAGTTATWATCATGTGCTTTACGTTTACGCGTATTTACCACAGTCTACACGCCAACGTCTTGCGTTTCCAGACGTCAAACAGCCACCGCGTTGCGTCGTCTGCCATTAAACTCGAAAAACGGATTTCACGTGGATTTTTGTTTATTATTGTATTCTTTCTTTTCTGTAGTATCCCAGCATGCATTATGATCTACTTGGTCAACTTCTGTTCATCGTGTAGTTGCGTTGTCATTCACTGGGCACGTGATYTATTTTACCTACTAGTTGTTTTGAACTGCTCAGCAAATCAGTTCTTGTATGCTTGGCGCATGCCTAATTTTACGAAAGCGCTGAGGCATATACCAGCGATTTGCGGGCTCTAYGGGAGATCTTCRCCGAACCTGGAATCTCGAAGTCGYTCATTTACGGATTCTAATATGAATTAAAGAAACTTAAAACTGTATTAATATGTATTTATAAACCTGTTTCTAACTTGTAATTTAAACACCAATGCACTAYAATAATGTTTAGAGATCAATGAAATTGCTATACTATGGAACGTCAGGTAGATTGTCTCAAACAACCAAACACTAGAACATTCTATATTGCTAATGGACTTCATAGCCTAAAGATGCTCTCGCTATTTTCCTGTTTTAGCAATAAAATATGAAGTGCTGCACTATATCGGGGGAATAAAGGTCTTATATGAACATGTGCGCCCAAAAATCGAGTGATGAACTACATGCTTCACTTTAACAGTGCTTTGATTCAAGCCACACGGGCTGTTTCTATGGCTTTCTCGTTAAGCATTCATTTAAGGGGTTATGTGAGTGTTATTACTTGAAAARTTGAGCATGGACATTGATTGAATGCCTCTTGCAAAGCGTTGTCACTTCTATTAGAGATGGACAATACGTAATGGATGATACTGGCCATGTACGTCAAGACAACACGAATAATGAAATATAATGAAACCCAATGCAAGTCTCTCYACTTACTATCACAGATAACACTGGAGCATTTATGTATAAAATAAGAAAAAACGGCTTCACGTGTTTCTGTCCTTTAATATAAACACGGTGGGAGAAGAATAGGACGTGAGAAGCTAGCCTAACACAAACGCAAAGAGTCTTTTTGCTTCTAGAGGGCTCATCTCCATCCCTCATCGTGTTTCTATCAAAGGACAGAGCGGCAGTATCATAATGTTTTTTTCTGCGTGTGTCAAACACGAGAACGCCAAACCTTGCTTTTAGTACTCCGATATACGAGAAAATTAATAAAAATCTATCAATGGGTCTTATGATTAAGTTGTGATCAGGCGGGATGCACGTACACTTTAAATCCAGTTGTATACTATATTGTTCTCGTATATGATGCATAACAAAACAATTTATYATAACCATTATGGTTTGTAAAAATCGTAAAATGCGTAGCAAAGYCGGCGATTGTCCGCAAAAAAGCGCAATATCTYCATATACGTAAACACCCTTAAAAATCAGAGGAACCAATACTGAAAACGATAAGATCAGCAAAACCGCATAGACAACCTATATTAGGYAAATTGCATGATTTTYTACGTGCGTTGCGGTCCCTTTTTCCGATATAAGAGGCATCGTATCAGGATGTGTATTATACAAATGCTAAGACTTTGAAGAGTCCATCAGATCATTTTAACGCCAATATCATTTATAATTCACATTAGTGGGCAATATATCGTTGCCATGTAGATATAAACAAAGTGTTAATYGCTTAAACTGAACAACTAAAATCATTAATTACTATAACGAACACGGAACCTCCTACGACTCTCATATCGAACAACSCTTCGGAAACGCATCCGCTCCACATACGAAACCTTAAATRTTTCTATTTGACACCAAAATAACATCATATGGGGGGCAAAACAAAAGATTCTTACCGACTCTARACTACAATAGCTATTGTTTTGTCCCCAGATGGAGCCGCATTCATGAAATTTGTTTTAAAATATATTTAAAAGCAAGCACTCCCCACATTGACCCCAGGCGAGGCCTAATGGCGCTCAAATGTAATTTTTCCAAACTCTTGACAAGATTAACTAATAAATCAAAAGTGACGGACGTAATTTTTAATAATAGAGAAGACATTTTGCATGAAGAACATAGCAATAATTAATTGACATGAGTAGCGTAAAAGCATCTTTGTGCATGTATTGGTTGAATCAGAGTTCTGTATCAGTGTGGATGAAGAAGTACGGTACGTTACGTTGTCAGCCATCTTTGATTCTATTGCCGAAATATAAGTTACTTTTTAAGGTCAGTAACCATAGAACTCTGAATTAGATTGATTTGCATGAGTTCGAGCTGATTCTATTGGGAAGTTGTCTCGTCTACCTCCGTCAGTCAGTTAATAACGAATAGCGAGAGTTGTGTTGTGAAACACTAAGTCCTCGTTGAGGTATTGAGTGTGGTTCTACATAATTTTCTCAAATTAGTATAACATGATTGAGATAGAGTTAATACTCGTTTTATTTATTCCATGTTGAACAGAGTGGCCATATATATTTACGTATAAGTAAGCATAGCTTAGCWGCCAAAACGTTTGGTAAAGAGGACAAACTTAATGGCAAAGTAATTGTTATCAGCGACAATTCCAAGAACTGCTTCTTCAAATTTAATTTAAGATTCTTGCAATCAGTAGACGTTTTAAAGAGCTCGCTATCAGAGACAATCTTCAATTTTTCTAACAAACAACAAGAAAAAAAGTAAACCGTCGGCCATATTGGACTTTTCAAGAAAATTTCGGCTCAGATTTTATAGTCAGTTATTAATTGTTAATTACAAAATATTCAGTCCATAAAAGATGCGATCAACGATAAAGTAAAGTGGCGGCCATATTGGCTTTTCCAGAAAAGTTCCCTTTGTCTTTTAAAGACAGTATTTTGTAGCTTATACCAAAGAAAGTAGATTAAAGTACATTTAGTCAATGTGGTGACGGGCAACTAAAGAAATAGCGGTCAACTGGCGGCCATATTGGACTTTTCAAGAAAAGTTCACGTCGCCGGGTCTCAAGATCAGTTACTTCTCTTTACACAAATGAAAATTAACCAATGAACTGGTATTGCATTGAGTAATAATTCTTTCTAAATTTTCCTAAAAAAGCGCTTTGAATTCTTCATTCACATAAGTGATTATTTAAGTGATTTTTTGTATATAAATGTGAAGCAAGAGCTAACAGAAATACTTTGCAAAAAAWATTGTYTAAGTCMATTATATTTTCRACCTAATAGCTTTGCGATAGTTGARTTGAAGCAAAWTTTGTTCAAAWTTTTTGATTKATTCCTTACTGATCAACCCGSCAATTTTAAGTATAATTTTGAKAGTCCAGCAARGAAGAATATAAATACTTTTTACAATTTGTTGGTGTGACCTGGTCAGCCTTGTTTTGGGTAGATTCAAAGCGAGATCCGGTCTAGATGAGATAAGTAMATTCTTTGGTCCTTTTTGAATGCTTCTGAAGTTTGTAAGYGAGGGGAAAAGCTGTGGGAGATTGCAAAACGAGCGAAAGCTAAAAAGGAAGTGACATTAAAYATTTTTTCAAWGCATTTAAAAGGATGTTATCTRMTGAGATATATTACTCTATGCGGCTACAATRGCATAAACATCACACTTTAGACATAACCAAAACTATGTTTGCATTTGGAYTTTTTTTAACGACGCACTAGGATCGGGCTGTTCAAAGCTCGATTAGCKCTAATCCTRGGTTAACTATCTCTTAWAAAAACSTATAGAGTTAACCCTGGATTAACGCTAATCGGCCTTTGAACTTTCCGATCCATCAAGCTAAGATTAAGTACATACCTCTAMAACGTACGACATGTGAGACTGAAGTTTCAATGTTGCCTTCTTACGATGGAAAATCCTTTGGAAGTATTGCTGCACCGCTATCTCTGTTTATCACTTGATTTGGGTTTACTTTKAAGAGTTTGAGACTTGAGTTTCAGACATGTGACCAAGAATCCCTGAGAAAAAAGAACAAAGAAACGCCGTCATGTTGAATGRATGTACAAGAGAAATCCAACATGGCTGTAATGACGTAAAAAGTGCTCGAAAGWGTTATATTACAATGTAATACTTGTTTCAAAAATTATTTAAGGGTATCTGTCATTATTTAAGAGTATAACCCTTTAAAAACACCTGACATATAAGAGATCCGATTTTCAAATGACCTTATTTAGAGTATCCTTTCTTTGAAACGACCTTTGTACGTATTTATTATTGCAGAATAAAAACAAATTGAAAACTATTAAAAATATGTATGAAAATTTAGCACCACAAGTACGAAACAAAACCAAGTAWTCCAAASGAGAAAAATGGTCTCTCCATTCTCCCTTCTCCAMATTTTTACACAGCTAACCCAAGAAGAGGAAGAATGATCGTGATTCTTGAGGGAAGTCTTGTAAATCCCCTACACTTTCACYGATTTAATCACACAGATTTGTCAATTATCTCATTAGCGTGAGCCATCAGGTTAATGGTAYGAAACTGATTTCTAATCAGGCCMTGAAAAATACAGCCTAGAGCGGAACTGCGCACGACAAAACCTTTTAAGTATACATTGACAATGAGATAACTATAATAATCTCGAGAATGTTTTGGGTAAAACGCCTAAGGACGGTTTATTAACCATAAGGACATATTAAGAAATATCCCGAGGCATATGACGGCACAAATTGAGTTAAACTTGACGAAAATATCATATTATTCAAAATTAAAGTTGTGGACACATTTAAAAGGCACAGCATCAGAGGCAACCGAGCGCTTTGAAACATCGGAGGACTCACCTTACTGAAAGCATAAAAATAGGCAGAGAAGATGATGAAAATATTATAGATTTTTAAACAAATACAGCATCAGAGGCAACCGAGCGCTTTGAAACATCGGAGGACTCACCTTACTGAAAGCATAAAAATAGGCAGAGAAGATGATGAAAATATTATAGATTTTTAAACAAATGAAAGAAATGTTGCCACATTTAAAAGGCACGCCATCAAAGGCAACCGATCGCTTTGAAACATCGGGGGGCTCATTTTACTGAAAGTATAAAAATAGCCAGAGAAGAAAAAGTGACGTTGATTTCCTGTAAATTCTCTATTATAGAAGATGATAAATAGACGCTTGGAACCTGCGTGTCTATCTACAGTTTATATATCATCGAGTACAACATTTTCTCATACGATTATCATATTATAAAATGGTTTTTACCAGACTAGGAAATACCAAGCTAATAGACACTAGTAGACCCTAAGCCTATAAAATGACTTGTTTCGTTTTGTTGAAGTATAACTATTAGAAAATGTTATTGGTAACTAGGTTATTTTTACCACAGACCGATGAAAACAGGTCTAAACATCATAGAAGCTAAAGTCAAAATAGGAAAATAATCAAATGAAAGCAAGATGGTAATTTTAGTCGAATTAAAAGATCAGATTTACACTTAATGCCACTCATGTGATATCTTTCTTCAAAAGACGTAAACTTCGTTATCACTTTAACAATTTCCTGCATCCCACAAACCTTTGCGCCCCCACAGCCCTTATGATGTGGAATTGAATGAATGTGTGTCTTCAATTAGAAGTTCCGTCAACATCAGCAGATTATTATCCTGGTCGATAATTAATGAACTTCCTGTGTGAATCTTTTGATGGGTATCAAATCAAGCGATTTTTTCCATCCCTCTGTTCCATCTTTTGCTTTTGTTATTTTTATCTTTGTAAAATAACAATTAAGATTGCCATAGCAATATCCCTGGATCACGWGACAGTCCTTATCGCATTAATACGTGTGTGGGTTGATGTCAGACAGTATATAATAACAACTCTTAACGACCGCTCTTTAACACAGGGACAACTGCTTCACTTCTCACGAAGCGCTGAATATTGAGCGGTCTCATGAACACAACAAACTCAACGGTTGGCGATCGCAGACGTGAGATGGTTCTCTGGGTATGGATYATACGCGCCGTCATTGCTGTCTTAACAGTGCTTGGTAATGGCCTGGTCATGATTCTGATGTTAAGAAGCCGTCGACTTCGCGTCATACAAAATACATTTATATTCTCCCTCGCCTTGGCGGATTTTCTAGTGGGCGCGGTCATCACWCCGACYGACTTAGTGTGCAGCTACTGGTACCCTACTTCATGCGAATGGCCTACGCTACGAACTACGTACGATATTCTACTACATCTCTCGGTTACAAATCTCTGCGCATTGACATTCGATAGATATATGGCTGTAGTTGAACCGCTTCAGTATCACTCAGTACTAAGCAGACGCCATATCGTGATYATTCTTGTGGTTTCTTTATTTGCTGCAGCGGTGCTTCCAATCATTGGCCACATTTGCCTTGCGAATTCGTATAATCTTAGCGCGAAAATCTTCCGCGTTGTTGATATGACATTTCTTCAAATCGTCCCGCCGATTCTTCTCGCTATAGCTTACGTAAGGATGGTGTACATCGCGCGACAACATGAGAAAACCGTCAAATTGCAGCAAAACCAGCTAAGCTTTAACTACGGGAACAGTTCCTTTGTTAAGAAACGACGAAGTAGACAGGGAGAAAGTCGAGAAAGAGCGTCCGTAAAGATGATAGGCGCTGTTATTATTGCTTTTTTATTGTGTTACGTCTTGGCTATAGTTAGGTCATTAGTTTTCTACATCTTACACATCGACGTCCCCAAAACTGTCACACACGTCTCGAGAATTCTTCTCTTAACGAATTCTGCTGTGAATTTCTTGGTCTACGCATTTCTGAAGAAGGATTTCCGACACGAGTTAAAGCGGATCGTTTGTAAGCAGACACGTATTCCAAAGGAGTCGTCTACATTTCATGATTTGTTGACATAAGATGACTTTTTGGATCGAGAAAGTTGCTCTGCAGTCTGGAGAACTTTACAACAGCTCTGGTTTCTTCTTTGCCAAAACCTTTAAGAACTCTTATATTGTTATAACTCAGTTGATTGTTCTTTTTTATGCATTACAACGCAATTCTGATGTCAAAAACTGGTTTCTTTTATTACAATACTCACCATYTTCACTCTCAATTCGTTGTATTTAYTCTATATAAGATAATGATAAGGCCGTAAGTACCTAATATATCAAACGTCAGTTTTACTATCTTGGAATCACTTTTTTGAGTCAATAAAGGTGCTGTCAGTCTGATGTAGCTATACATGTTGTTTCCACATAGACATGAACACTGGATATCAGCTTKATCTCAGCAACGCAAATAGCCATTAYTTTGACATCAGTTTTGCTGCCGAGATTACTAGCTATCRAAAAAGGTGCTACATAGTCTGCGAGGTCTACAGTTTTGTMCACATCCTATAKTACTCCATATCRTGTGTGAWTGCMTGACATGTATTCTCGATTATATTGGATCATTTATGATTAACAAGCATATGAGGTGTATTGGCAGCGATGTGATAGATTTTTAAGCCTCTTCGGCACCAAGCGATAGAGACATATTCATAATCTAAAATACTGCCAATATTCTCAATGAACACATTTTAAATCAAACATCAATTCAAATAAATTTCGAWCTTCAGAAGCATACAATGGATCACTTCGACCATGAGTGGTCATTTTGTCAGAAAGSAAGKAAAGATGTATTACGTGGAGTTTTGAGTTGCATTACATTTAATTCACAAMAAACAAATTTGAAAAATGATTTAATACAATTGAACTTGAAATCATAAACAGCTACACGAAACTCTTTTTATAAAGTAACTTTTGTTACTTTCACACGGACGGCCCATACTACTCCATTAWAATAAAAAAAATACCGCATTCTATATAGAGYTTTGGTGCTTGTTTCACTTTATTTCCTTATTCTTCATGCRAATTGAGTGAAAATCAACGATATTTATTGCACGAAAAAGAAAGGCCTTTTGTGTATGTACCTCTTGCCAATATGGCCGCGCGCCGTAGCGTCGAAGTAGTCCATTATCTCACTCTCAGCTTGTAAATATGCTATAACCACATTAAAGATTCTGATCTTTCGAGTGTAAGGACCCACTTTACTTTAAGCACTTAACATAAGATATAAAGTAAAAATTTAAGCGAGATGTTCGGGAAACTATTCAMCCTCAAATAAAGAAATGAAATAAAAGTTGAAAGTACAAGAAAATGAAATAGTCTCAAAAAATAACCTAAACGAATGAATATAGTTTTCCCTAGCAAAATTTATACCGGCCAAATGGATATTACAACTGAATCTTGATACTYTAGCTGGAAAGGACAAATCGACCGTTAAAATGTGGTCGTTGTCTAGAGGTTTCTGTTGTGGTGAATAAGGTACAGAGGTAAAGCGACCAGGTGTTAGATGTTAAGTGCAATCATACCACTGTGCGACCACTAAAAAAGGAGCCTAACCGAACTATAGTAAAATTTACACTTATTGAAAAATACGATAAGAATCAAAGCAAAAAGGACATGAAAACTCTGAGAAATCAGAAAAAAAAATAAGTTCAAAAGTAGTTTAATGCGTTTTATTGGAACAAGTGACTCACTAGACAGTCATTTGTCTCCTTCATAGTTTCCTGTGCCATCTTGAAAGTTGGCCGTAGAGCATGCAATTAATGATAGAAACCTTCTCTCACGCCTACATACAATTATTCACAGTAAAATCGTACTCTCAACGGTCGTCTCACCTCAGGCGATGCGCAGGGAAACGTGAAGAGGACTATTACACGATATACGGCGGAATTAGGCCATTTCATTAAGCCGGGGGGGGGGGGGGGGGGGGGGCATAAGAGCTCTTTAAAGGACCATAGTTAATTGTTATCCTTTACGAGTCTTTGTTCATCTTTTCAAGGAAAACAAACAAACAATCGAATAAAAACCATCCCAACATCAGCAAAAACTTTCTCTTTCTTTTTACCTTTATGCTTGTGAATACATATAAAAGTGACAAATGGAAATGGATTGCGAATGAATATTAAGTCACCTCATTTTTCATTTATGAAAAATCTAAARCACGACCGCATTGMATGCYGGTTGACCATGGACCTTAAATTCATTCAAGAATTAAGTCAGATAAAATATTAATTAAAATATTCCTGCCTTAGGGATAAATAACCCTAATTCTCTCTACATGTAAAACTATARAAAAGCCAAATAAAACAAACAGAAAAACAAGGGCAAAAATATGATGAAAATCAAAATATTCTTTAATTTATAAAAAATTAAAGCACACACAATACTGATATAATCAATAAATTTCATTRAAAATTATACTATGTTATTATTTCTGATGTATTTACATTCGATTTCATGTTTTTCTAACTAGTATAAACAAATTTCTATCAAGCTTAATTGCACGGTTAGTGGAAAGGGTGGAATATTGATTAGTTTTTTCCTTTATTACAAGCACAAGCTTTAACCAGAACTAATAACGAAAAGTATTAACAGTTGATGTGGGTTGATCTTCAAATATTCTAAAGATTAACCTTAAGCTAAGTAGATTCGTTAGCAAAACTTTAAAGCCGTATCAATAGTGAGTCCATTSTGTTGAAGTTGTTGYCAATTGAAATTGGAAATTGTTCTGCATAAGTAAATACAGTCCTAACTCTGAACCAACATCTCAATCTGTGCTTAAAGCAAAATCGAAGATAATAACAGAACWCAAGAACAACTGGAACCACGAGAACATGGTTTAAAAGGAGGTATGTGTACAAATGTACTGGAAGCTTTCGACAAAAAAGTAAACTGTGACAATTCTAGTCGATAATTAAAGCTCAATAGAAGATTAAGGAAGAATAATGAAGAATAAGCAATATAATTTAAACTACTAATACAGCGATGTACAGTTTGATTTAGTGAAATTAACTCGAAAATAATACTACTCGTTAAAAGAATTTTTTCAAAGATGGAGCGCTGTCAGCTGCGATTGCGTGGTCGGAACACTTTCCCGCTGAAAAAGGATGTTATTGTAGAATTACATGATGAACTTTCTGAAAAAATTCCTTAATTAATTGGTTAAAATCATATGAAATTTCATCAAAGTCGTAATTTTAGTCCAATATAACCTTTGCTAAAGCTCTTAAAAGAGCTTTTTAAGAATCAAGATATTGTAGATAAGACGAACAATGTGAAAACAAACAAAATCATCCATAAATGAAAACATTTTACGCTTGAGATTTGTTGTGCAAATTTAATTAATTTTTCTTGTGAGAAAGTGCGATTCTAAATACAAGTTTTTTGGGAAATTAGGAAAAACTGCTGGGTGTTATATTGAGGGTTTGATGTGTTAGTCTGTGTCAACAAATGATTTTTTTTTTAATGTGCCTTGTTTAATATTCAATAATGAAGTCTGCAAACCTGCGGCATTAGGTGCGGTTAAAAAGGGGCGAAGGGGCTCTATTTGAATTCTCGATGTTGTGTGTGGAGGAGTATGGTAGAAAATCTATGCAGCATTTCTATTAGGTTTTAATAGAAATCTATAACTAAGTTTTCTGTTTCTTTATTCTTTTATAGAATTAACGAATAGAGATTATCCAATAAACATTTGCGCGATTGTAATCCAAGATGGCCGCCATTGGTACAAATACTACATATTAGAAGTTGAAGTCCATTCCTGATCGTAAATAAATAACCAAAACATTTTTACATTACAATAACATTGGCAAAGAAGCCAGAAGACACAGGAAAAGTAAACCCCTTCGCACCCMTCCCCCAACCAACAACGTTCACCAGAGCTCAATATTCGTGCCATGTCATCTTTAGAAGGACGTCCGAATCACAACCCTGACAGAACAGARAAATGGTTYTGGTGCATAGCWTGCTTGGAAGCCATACTGATTATCATTGGCAATGGGACTGTCATTTACTTAGTGACCAGCCAGAAACGTTTGCGCAGGACTGGGAACTGGTTTATATTGTCTTTGGCTTTCGCAGATTTCTTCGTGGGTATCTTTATTATCCCAACMTTCTTTGCGTGCTCACGATTACATTTCACGTGCTCATGGGACGTACAAGTRTTGTTCTTTGAGTTGTTTCTGTTCACTTCCATTGGAAATCTGTGCGCTATGACTTTAGACMGATACATCGCTATAATCCATCCTCTACGYTATCCTGCTGTCATGACTACCAAGAGAGCATGCTTTGCCATTGGTCTTGCCTGGGCTGTACCTGGAATTACTGCCTTGGCACCAGTCTTCTGGCGGTTTAAAGACACTGAAAGTGACGCACCGGAAAGGGTTTTCCGAGTGTTTGTGATCTTCGCGTTCGTTCTGGTCCCCGTGACAGTTCTCTTATTGGTTTACGTGAGAATTATCATTGTCGTACGTCGTCATAGCCGTCATTTGGCGATATTGGACGCACAGCTGAACTTCAACATYAAWAGAATGGCGACTAATAATAGAGGCACCACCATGAAATCGTCCGCTAAGGTYATGGGTACCATGATATTGTTATTTGTAACATGTTGGTGTCTATCTACCTATAGGTCCTTATGTGCGTATTTTAACCTGGGTCAATCAACTCCACTTTTAGACAAACTATCACGTCTATTGCTGTTCTTAAACAGTGCAGGGAACCCAATGGTATATTCTTTACTTAAAGAGGATTTGCGCAGGTCACTCATAAGGACCATTGGCGGTATTGTAAATAGATGCAGGCGAGTGAAGGATGGTGGGAAGGTTGGGGTCATTTTCAGCAAAACCGCTCATTGATACCAGAATGCGATTTAATAGCTTTGTCAAGCCAAATGTATCATATATGAGTTCTAAATAAAGATAAAAAGCAATCCTAGTACAATTGAGTGATGAAAAAATAAACAGCATGAACTGGAAGATGTATATTAAAGAAATCCTGAGTTAAGAATGACTTTAAAGTAATGCAATATGAAGAGGTTACAAGATTAGAATCTAGAGAAGAGAGAAATAGGATAAAAAACTGGGAAAACAGTTGAGAAAACGCCGAGAAAGGCCTGAGAAAGTATAATGATAATCATTCTAAAACAGAATTACTATCATCTAATCATATATCAGGTAACGTGAGCCATGGTCACGTTTTCTAGAATCGGTTAAGTAAACGCAAACAAACACATAAAATAGAGTTAAAAACAGCCGTAGGGTAAATACATTAAGCACTGCATTATTGACACAATTAACTAAACTGCTCAAGGCTGAGTATTACAAGAACAATTCTTCAATTCTCCCTCACTCACGAGAAAAGCGAATTAACGTGACGCTTGGTCGATAGACATCCTTTACGAGGTTTTATTTATGCTTTTAAAATAAAAATATATCGTAAGATAAAGAAAATGTACTCTTTATCATTCCTTTATGAGCTATGAATGCAGATATTGTCAGATTCTCTAGTAAAACCGACAGATGGAAACAAATTGTGAATGAATATTTGAAGCCACTTTTCATATATGAAAAAATCGCATGGAGTGACTGCCGTTTGTCAATGGACCTTTAAAAYTATAAATAAAAACCATATATTTTTTATCTTGGTAGTGATCAAATAGCCCTAGGTAAGACCGAAATGGTARCAYT